TGAATTTTGTCAAGAATATTAATTGTGGAACCGCAAAAAAATGCCAAAAATATTTACCACTTTTACCCCAGGGCTTTCTTTAAAACACATCTTGGTTTTTGTTGATTCAACACTTGGATCAAATGATATCGAATTTTTACGGTCGAGCTGATACAAATTTTATTCAACATTGATTTCACGCACGTGACACATTTAAAATCGACGGTCGCTTCAAGCGCTGTTTCTTATGTTATACGCAAACAGAAGGCAACCAAATTACAAATCTTTTGCAAGATTATATCGTAGTTTAGGTGAAACTGGGTCACTTCACACTAAAAATCGGGGTGGTCGACCGAAACAAATCACACCTAATCAAGAATATGAAGTTTTGGTTCGTGTAAGTCAGTCGTCTATTGTTAGAATTCTAAAAAAAGATCCTTATCACTTTACTCCTGTTCAAAACTTACTTCCAACAAATCTTCCACGACGGTTACAGTTTTGCCAACGTATTCTAAATAAACATCGCAATGTTTATACAGCTCTTAGGCAACATGCTTTCAGAACAATTAATTATGGTTACAATATTTTATTCAAACACTCATGTCAAGCTCGAACGAATTTACACTTAATCCCACACACTGGGGATGAAAATCATCGAATAGTCAAATTAGTGCCAAGATTTTCATTAGACTCCAGATATTGGAGACAATTTAAAATTAGAAATATATACTAATAATGACAATGAAACCGAATATGTTGAAAATGATTGTGACAATCAACATAATACAATGGCTAAAAAAGGATGTTTAAATTAATAATGTCCCTTTTATAAGTTTATATCAAATAACTTGTTTCAAATATGTTTGTACTTGATTCAGTCGTCAGAGAGTTTACCCCTAAAAATCATACGCACAAGCTGAATTTTGTCAAGAATATTAATTGTGGGACCGCAAAAAATATGCCAAAAATATTTACCACTTTAACCCCCGGGCTTCCTTCTAAAACCCCCCTCGTCAGGGGGTAAAAACGAAAAAAAAATCGATTTTTTAAAAACCGGTACGCCGTAAAAAAATGTTTCAAATAAAAAATGTAGCTGGAATAATTTTAAACAAAAATGCGCGTGCACGAAATAAACGTTCAATAAAATTTGTATCAGCTCGATGGTAAAAAATTCGATATATTTTGAACCAATTGTCCTGTCGATAAAAATCAAGATGCGTTTTAAAGGTAAAGAATGCAGTTTTCATATGCAGTTGTTATAGTTTGGCGCAAACGTGGCGCGATTTTTGGACTTTTTTATGATTCTCACGAGATCAATAAATTGATCACTTTCATTGACCAGTCGCATTAAAATTTCTATTTTTAAAAACCAATCTTTCAAACATATGAAATGAAATTTCCATTTTGAGTTGTGGCAACAAAGATGGCAATTTACTGCTTTACATTTTAAACGATTGCACGTCACAATAAATGCCTCCAAGAAGACTGTTTAAGGTATAATTTGTAGCAGAGCTTTGGTTCTTTTAAAAACGAATTATTTAAATTTAAAAAGAAGTTTCAAACGTTTTAGATTGGTTGTTATGTAAAATTTTGTATCACAATGTTTTTTAAGCATATTTCAAATTCCTCACATGTGTTGCCAAAACTCAAAACTAAAATTGATATAGTTTTTGAAGGTTAGACTCTAATAATCAAAACTTTATAGTAGCCAGTTAATGAAAGGGATAGATTGTATTAATCTCATAAAAATCATACAAAATGGCAAAAATCGCGCCACCTTTATTTATTTAATACCTTTATAAAAGTTTATTAGCAGCAAATTAAATAACTGCATATGAAAGCTGCACTCTTTCTTTAAAACACATCTTGGTTTTTGTTGATACGACACTGGGATCAAAAGATCCAAGATAAAGGTCGAGCTGATACAAATTTTATTCAACATTGATTTCACGCACTGACACATTTAAAATCGACGGTCGCTTTAAGCGCTGTGTCTGAGAGAACGGTTCATTCTACATAAAATATGCTTTTAAACATTTTTGATTAAAATTATCCCAGCTACATTTATTATTTAAAACATTTTTTTCTACGGCGTACCGATTTTTATTAAATCGATTTTTTTTGCGTTTTTATTCCCATACGAGGAGGCTTTTAGGGGGAAGCCCGGAGGTGAAAGTGGTAAATTTTTTTGCATCTTTTTTTGGGTCCCAAAATTTATATTCTCAGCAAAATTCAGTTTTTCGTATGATTTTTAGACTGTTTTTAAGTCCCGAAAAGTCTTTCTAAAAATAATAAGCATAATTCAGGAAAAATTACCACGCATAATTTTTGACTCATCAAATAAAAAGTTAATTTTCTTGAAAAAATTATTGTTAAAAGCTACTATTTATATAATAATATATAAATATTTAAGTTACTTATAATTTTCTATCCTTTTCTACTAATAATAATACGAGCAAAGTAAAATTTCACAAAATATTTTTATTTTATTAACTATTTTATTATATTTAGTTTAAATTGTTAAAACAAATAACTCGCTTACAGTCCGTCCCAAACCCTTCTTTCAGTGCGTCATAGTTGTTCGAATTCTCTCTAACGCATTAAGCTAGAAGTGACAGAAAAAAACGTGAGTCGCTGATTATTATACATAGAACTTAGAAAATTAGGTCTCGTTCACGGGTATTCGCATATTAAAGCGAATTCTCCTTACGAACGTATAATTGGTTGGAGTTTAGAATACGCTATGAGTTGATTGGAGTTTAGAATACGCTATTTTAAATAGATATCCAATCAATTATGCATATAAATATAATTTAACACAGATGATCTTGATAATGACAGTGACAGTACTTTCACAATGTCAACTGATAAAATGATAATTTCCATTCCAGGATAGTATTTTCAGACATTTTAACTACAGTGAAAATTAAATTTTGTATTTATTTTCATAAGAATATTTTAAATATTCCGAGATATACCAAGAATGAAAAAAGACTAATATTAAAATTATTAAATCAGTTTCAGTTAAAAAAGAGGCTGAGACATCTTTATTATCAGTTTCTGTCGTTCGCGAATCAGGTTGTGAATTCCGGAATAAAATTGAGGAAATATCTTAAACTAATGCCTTTATGGATATTCATATGTATTTAAACGGTTTTTTTTAGAACCACGACATTTTCTTGAAATGTAGGATATAATTGATACCAGCCACATATCTAGTGTAATCATTGATTTTCAAGAATCAGATTCTGAATGGGATTATAGATTGTTTGAAATATAATATTCATTTTTGTTATTCATAAAAAAGAAGGTAAACTTACATTCGGTATCTTGTTTTTTAACTAAACTCCATTAGCACGATTTCATCTGGATATCAGAACTGGTAGATTAACTCAAAAATCAACTGCTTCACTATTTAAACTATTTCCACTATTTAATGACAACTCTTCACAAAATTAAACTATTGGCTGCCACACAAACTTATCAGAAAAATCGATATTATTTTATCACAGGAATGTTTACTTTGATGCCTTGCAATTGTCAGTAAATTTTTTTACCTTGCAGTCAACTCTTAAAAGATTCTAGGAGGAAGCGTTATTTTAAATGAACAAACCTTCCAATTCCCTAGTGTTTGTAATAAATAATAATAAATCCATAAACAAATCTTAGCTAATTAAGCACTTTCCATGGAATGTATAAAATAGAACAGAATAGAATAGAATTATGAAAAACTGCTATGCATTAAAAAAAACAATAACCTTTTCACGTTTAGCCGATTACGATCCTGCAACTGTCAAATTTAACTAAAATGTCATGCAATAATTCTCGACGTTCTTAAAATCCTATATGACGTTAAAATTAGTGACGCGCTGAAAAAAGGGTTTGGGACAGACTGTAGATAAATAATTTCACCAATTAACTGCATAACTGAATAATCTATGCAGCAAGAAGGTCCAAATTGAAAAAAAAAATTTTTGCTGAGAATAACCAGATATATTGTAACTTTTATAAAATTTAAGTTATGAATTCAGTTTTTAAAATTATGAAATCCAGAGGGTGTAAATCGCTTTACTTTTAAATTATTCATCTTTGCGCATCACGGACTGCTCATTTTTAAATATTTCGTTTAATATTTCTTTTGCCGAAACTTTCAAATGATGCTTTTTTAAGTCTCTTAATCCTTTAAATAAAGTCCCGGTGAATTTAAGAAAAATCGAAACTCGGGTTTTAAGAGTGTTTTTTTTTTTAATTTCTAATAAAACACAATTATCTTCCTACATGTTGATGCGTCTATTGATTGATTGAGTTATTTTAAATGTTTATAAGATTCAAATCCAATATTTTGCAATATTTAACATATTTAACAATTTTTTTAATCGTTAAGTGGTTTAATTTAATAATATAGGCTTTTTTTTTTTCAATTTGGTGCTTTCAGAATTCAGTAGGCCCAATTGTTTGAGCATAATGACGTTGTAGATAAAAGGGTTCTGGGATAAAAGAATTTAATTTTTCAGTAACATTAAGTTAAACTTAATAAAATTTTTACAGCAGAATATCTGTAAATATTGTCCCGAGTCTCAAAACAAAACAAGTGCATTAAAAAATATATTAGGGCAACTCAGGATGTAGTTTTTATTAATAGTTTTCAAAAAATTGACTTTTGAAGCTATTTTTGCAATAACAAAACAATATATCAACAAAAATGACGTTACAAACTTTGATGCCAAAGGATTTTCTAGGGTTTTTTAGTAAAATTGCATCCGTTTTTCATTTTTTGCCGCTCTTCATCTTTAGTATTTAAAATCAAATACCCATCTCACATTGTTTATATATTGTTTATAAGTTGTTAAGTAAAAAGTAAGTTTAGCCTTTTGCATATTTTATGTGTTACAAATTGTTATCATTAAATTAATCAAAAGCATTTGTTAGATACTTATATCAAAGATTCTCACGGAAAACGCTTGTTTTCTATGGTCTATAATCGCTACCGGTGTTTAAAACAGTTATAAAATTATAAATTTTTAGGACTCACCTTCTTCAGCGAACGAGATGATCTCCGAAGTCCTTCCATAAAAGTCGTCCGCATCAACAGTTTCCATGATATTATTCCTAGCGCTAGTTGTAGAAAACTTGTCATCTCTATCAAAATTCCTTAAAAAATCACTATCCTCATCCTCAGCTCTGTACAACGTTTCCAATATAACCTCCTTTGGAAGACTATGCGTCACGTTCGGTTTTTGCCGCAAACCTAATTTTTGTAAAATTTGCTTTTTAATAGCTTCTAACCTAAGTTTGTCTGTTTCCTTTTTTTCTCTATCTAACTCGTTTTCAAAAAGGCAATTCGGGCAACTCAGGATGGAGTTTTTTGAACTATCTTCTAATCTGGATTTTTCTAATTGAGACCAGCCGGGTTCACCGCCACGCTTCATGTGGGGGTGCCTCACCCTTTCTGCACTAACTATGCTACAAGAAATGGTACTACAAAGGAGGTACAAACAGGACACTGCAATAGTCCAATGGGCTTTACGGTTATAGTAGTTTTTGTAAACAGCCATTTTTTCTGCTTTTTGGACGGTAATTTTTTTAATTGAAAAAATTTCCTATTACCTTGAATTATTATATTTTCTATCTAAAACTTTACATTCTTTCACCTCTAACATTTTCGTTTTGATTTTACCGCTTGCTGCAGTCAAAATTTTTTGCCGTCGATGTTTTTGAAAAAGTCTTTTTATCGGAATCCAATAATTCGCACATTTTTTGTAGGGCACTATTTTCACAGCTCCACTGAAAAATAACTAATCAGTCTTCTGTCACTCTTAAAATCAAAAAACACCCCAAAAATCTTAGCGAATAACTTTCTAACTGTCATCTACATTTTTCTAAAACTAGTTCTAAAAGTTTCCCCCGTGTCTAGTTGGCGCACGCTTCGCGATCATTTGTTACCAATGCGGCGTTCGGATGGCAACTGACTAACTCCATGCTTCCATGGCCTGCTGGACTCACTTGCATGTGTCAATTTTATTATGGCTTGACTATCGTAACTTACTTGATTCCTAAGAGCATGGCTTTTGTCGATTGTTTTGGCAGCAGGACTACTATGATTTATTGACGGATGGAGATTAGCGATGCGATTTAAGGATTTACAGTTAAATACTTTATAATTCGATTTCTTTTATTTTAAGATTTTATTATAAACTTATTATTTTGTAATTAGGGCAATAATTATTAAATTCTTTTACTCCTTATAATTTTAAACATACTTCAATACATTATGAATTATTAAAACTATTTAAAAAATTAAAAATTAGATAAAAATTCAAAATTGAATAAAAACTAAAATTACACTCTGGGCCAAAATTAATCGGCCACCTTAAAAATGGGTAATTTTTGATATCTTATATCTCCTAAACCTGTTGTCCGATTTAAGTGATTTTATTATTATATTATAGCCTTATTCCTTGCCAAAAAAAAAAAAGACAAATCGAACCCGGAAAATGACCGAGGAATTAATTTATTAAGCACAACACTAAAATTATAACACTAGCAGAAGAACAACAAGATTTTACGTCCGAAAGATCATGCACCGATATAAATATATAATGAGGCAAGTGCAAGAGAAATCATTAGAATACAACAAACCGGCATATCTCTGTTTCGTGGAACTTAAGCAGACATTAGACTGGGTCAAATGAAAGGACGGAAAGTAAAAATAGAAGAAAAACTGACTGCCCTTAGTAGATCTATCAATGGGATAAGATAGGAGATTTCCTCAGTCCTCTATTGTTTAACCTGATGATGTATAAAATAATGAAAAAATTAAGTACTAAATTTATTATTTAAAATATTTTGCTATGCAGAGGACGTAATACTACTCTCTCAAGGTGAAAATGATTCACAAGGTATGCTGAACCAATTTAATATAACCGCCAGAAAATTTAACATGTTAATTTCCTTAAAAAAGACAAAATGCATGGTTACAACAGCAAATTTACTAAGATGTAAATTGGAGTGAGACAATAAACAAGTAATGGAGTTTAAATATCTAGGCATGGCAGAGAAACAACAAAACTAAGGTACATGTACCAAATAAGGCCCGGTTCCTAACAAGGCCCACCCTCATGTTTTTACATAAACAATTTGAAAAAGTACCAAATTCTCTTACAATCAATTAGGTACTGGCATCTGGTAGACGAGACAATAACTACTTCGGCAGCCATTGTTGTGTTAGGCTTTTTATGTTCATTTGAAAATGATCCAATGATCATTTTCAAAGGAAAGCGACGCAAGCCAGAATGGGAAGATTATTTGCCACCTGGAACAGCGGTAGAAATGACAGGCAAGGGCTCAATGACTACATCGACCTTTATCAAGTGGCTGCATCATTTTGCTAAGTACAAACCTGCAGGAGAAGTTCTGCTAATTTTTGATGGAGCATCGTCACATTTAGATCCAGATATGTGTGACGTTGCTGAAGGTCACAGTATTAGACTGTACTGCTTGCCTAGCAATACGAACATGTACATGAACTTCAGCCTATGGGCAAGTTAGAATTTAAACCATTTGAGCCTTATTGGGACGATAAAGTCCAATTACATTGTTCGACTATTAAAGGAGAAGAAAATAGAGCAATTAGTAGACGGGTATTTGGAAAAATCTTTAGCAAGGTATGGCCAAAAGCTGCGTCACCAATTAATGTCATGTCTGGATTTCGAGCGACTGGGATTTATCCTTTTGATCCAGAATCTATTCCTGACTGTGCATTCGCTCCTTCCCATCCTTCACAGCGTCCTGATCCAGAAGAAAACATGCGAATGGGTTCCGAACCTGCTGAAGCATCAAATATTCTAACAGTTTCCGAACAAAGGAGTTCCCAAAAAAGGAGACGCCAATCCAGCAGTTCTAGTTCTTCGGAAAGTGAGCTATTTACTGGGAGGGATAGTTCATGTGATGTCAGTCTTAATGGCGATGATGACGATAGAGACAACCATGATGAACTCGATTGTTCCTTCCAAGACATTTTGAAAACTCCAGAGCTGAAAAAGAAACTCCAGACTTCTAGACGGAAGGCACTAAACTATCAGGCGTAAGTAGTAACTAAGGAACTATTTGCTGAAAGACAAAAGCAGCAGAGTGCCAAAGTAAATAATGCCTCTAAGGAGGTTTCAGTTGGGAAAGGAAAGAAAATTCCGGTGAAATAAAAACATCTGGAGAAATTTCGTAATGAAAACGGCGGTTCTGTTCCAAGCTGCAGTGGAACATCAGAAGCTGTTAACTGGTTTTGTCATTTATGCTTTGAGGACAGAACAGCTGACATAAGACTTTGCAAAAAATGCAAAAAGTATGTACATGAAAAATGTGTAGGGTTGACATCCAAAGACAAAGTGCCGAATTTCGTATGTCCATGGTGTGAGAAGTGATAATATATAATTTGTTAATTATATTAATGTTTATTAAATATTTAATAAATCTTTTCATTGGTTTTATTGCCATTAACACGCTTCATAGATTAAAATTTTGGGGTGGGCTATATTAGGGACCAGGTACGGGCCCTATTTGGAAGATGTGTTCCTAATAAGGCCCTACTTCAAAAGTTAATAATTTATTTGATTATGATAATACTAATTACGAAATAATTTTTTTTGTATTTTATTTTTATATTACTAGAAGTAAAGCATGTTACACATTTTTCCTGACCTCGTATCTCCTAAGTATAATAAATTAAAAGGTAATAATTGTTAGATGGGCCTTATTTGGTACACATACCTTATAGAGAACAACTTGAACAAACCTTGAACTCTGAAAGAGAATACAATGATATAGAACAGCTACGGGAAGCAACTGCCGAAATAATAACCAAGACAGCGGACAAGATCTTTGGAAGAAGTAGGCAGAAGAGAGCAACAACATGGTATAACGAGGAATGTCGGAAACACCTGGAAAAAAGGCAAACAGTAAGGAAGACTTGGATACAACTGCAAACAGACCAAAGAAAAAAGGAATTTGACGACTGTCGAAAAGAAACAAGAAAAATGATACGCACAAAGAAAAGAAACTATGAACAACAAAAATATGAAGCCATGAAGAGAGACCGGCTCAAACCAGGCTCCAGAGAATTCTATAAAGCAATTTCCTCTGAGAAAAGAGGACATAAAAAGAATTCCATCCATACACTGAGAGACAATCAAGGCCGTATGATAATCGACGGTAAAGAAGTGACTGAAGAATGGAAAAAGTATTTTAGGGACCTTCTAAACATCACACAGGAAGAACAGCACAAAGAAGAGATCTATATTACAGCGGATATGCCCGTCAAAAATCCCTCCTTTAAAGAAACCCAAAAGGCCTTAAATAAGCTGAAAAATCACAAAGCGCCGGGTACGGACGAGATACCAGCAGAACTTCTGAAATATGGGGGAGACGCACTACATCGCCAAATCCACCAGCTAATAACGCACATACGGTTAGAAGAAAGAATACCAGCACGATGAAAGGAAAACATAATAGTGCCCATTCACAAAAAAAGGGGACAAAACAAAATGCGCGAATTATAGAGGAATTTCACTTCTAAACACTGCATATAAAACCCTCTCAAACATCATTCTTAGTAGACTAATGAGCACCTGACACAAAGAGGACAAAAAGGATAAACATCAAAAATGAGAATACTGTAAGAAATAGAAGAGTAGAATGGAACGATTATATAAGTCGAATGACAAGAAATAGACTAATAAAGATGGCAAGAGACGGTTCCCCATCAGAAAGACGATTAGTAGGAAGAGTATGAAAACGATGGATCGACAATATACTGAAGGCACATTGAAAAACTGACAGAGTCATGTTTACATAAAAAGAAAGTTTTATTCGAAAAATTTATTAAGACGTTTAGGCGTTTTTAGGCTTTATTTAATAATGTTGCCATATATGTTACGAATATCTTCATATTGCAAAATAGGTGTGTATCTGTTGTTTTTAATTCGGACCATCTATTTAAGAGATATTTACGCGTTTTTTTGCCCTCCTCCTCCTCCTAAGTGCCTTCTCTATAGAGGTTGACGATCAATATGGCAAATTTCTCTCTGTTCTGGGCTTGATGGATTAAGTCATTTCCTGTTGTGTAAGTCCAATCTCTGATATTTCGGAGCTAGGATTTCTTCTTTCTTCCTATACCCCTTTTACCCTCGATTTTGCCTTCTAATATTACCTGGAGCTGCTCAAATTTCTTATGGCGCATTATGTGTCCTAGATATGACGTCTTTCTAATTTTGATTGTATTAACCAGATGAGGTCGTGTGTTCATTATTTCCAGTACCTCTTCATTTGTAGTTTTGCTGGTCCAGCTTATTCTTAGCATTCGGCGGTACATCCACATTTCGAATGAATTCAGTTTGTTGACGTCATCCTGTTTTAATGTCCAGGTCTCACAGGCATA